GTTACTGCTGCTTTTTCTCCACAGGGGGGAGGGGGGGATGGGGGGGAAGCGGGGGAGGGGAAGGGGGAAAAAGGGGGGAGAGGGGGGAGGCTGTCTGGGATTGGAGCTTCGGCGGCCAATTGGTATTAGTCGCCCTGGAATGCCGTTTCCGAACGGAGCAAGGAGGTTCGGAGGGTGCGGTTCGGCAAGGGGCAGGTGCAGGGAGGAGGGGAGGAGGAGGGAGAAGCAGAAAAAGGGAGAGAGGGAGAGGAGAACAGACGAAATATTCCTTCTAGTTCTGGCTCAGCTGCTGCTGATGCCGCCGCTGCTACTGATGCCGCTGCTGCTGCTGATGCTCCTGCTGCTCCTGCTGCTACTGCCGCTCCTGCTCCTCCTGGTGCTCCTACCACCTCCTTGTCATACAAAATAGGGAGATTCGCATCAGAAACGGACCCAGCAGGGGATGATGGGGAACAAGAAGATGATAAAACGGACGATTTCCTTCCTCTAGAACCTCCCACTCCCCCCATATCCTCCACAACCGCTGGTGCTCGCAAACTCACTGCCGCCGCTGCAGTGAGAAAGCAGCAAGGAGAAGGGGGGGGAGGGGTTGGTGAGGTGGGGGGAGTCGATTATTGTTAAGGCCGTTTCAACCTCGGGTGAAGCTTCTGGCGGTGTCCAGTTATCTCATTTAGGTAACTTGTAACCGGGGTACTCCGACTGAAATTCAGCACCATCAAAGAGATACATCGTCCTGACACTCCTTATGAAACCGTCGACTTCTGACTCTACGCTAGACATGCTACAAAAAGCTGGGACTGGAATGAAGTTAAGACCCTGACCAAGAAGACTCAGTTCGCTGTGAGTAAACACACGGTTACTGAAATTATGTATACCCTTGTTGCTGATCCGATTCCGCAGCTGAAACTCCGTCTTTCGACCGAAAATTATCAGCGCGTACTGGTGCACATCGGCAGCTAGCGTTTCTTGGTTTTTCCGGGGCCGGATCCTCCGTTTTTTGGAGTATTCGGTTTCTGCTTCTTGCTTCCAGGATGACGACCGGCGTTGCGGTTGATGTTCTTAGAAAAGGCACGACCCATTGTCTTAGCAGCTACGTCTGAAGTACCATCAGTAGTCTTCTTCTGCTGCTGCTGCTGCTTAGAAGTCTGCTTCTTCTTAGAATGGTTCCTGGACATTGCAGCCGGTTTGTTAGTCTTAATCGAAAAAGATTTCTTAGCATTGCTGTTCTTATCCGATCGGGTAGAAGTCTTAGGAGGATGTGTCGAAGTAGAACGCTTCAAGTTGAAGCTGAGTCGCTTAACAGCTTTCTCGGCTTCCTGCTTCGCGATCTCTCGTACTGCTGGTTCAACAGGTAAGTTCTCTGCTTCCGTCACTGCAGCAGCTCTCTTGTCGTCATCTTCCTTCTTCTTCTCCTTAAGGTGAGTCTCGGCGACAGCAGCTTCGAGGAAAAACTGGGACATTGACTCGGTAAAATCCTTGATGATCCGGTCCTTGAAAAAATTCAGCTTGTCGGTAAGCTTGGAGTTCTTAACACCGAGATCAGAATTCTTGGTCAAATTAATAAAGTTGGCCAGCTGACTCTGGAGCTTCGGGTAGACACCATAGGCATCATTAAGAGCACGGTCGGCTGCCTTTTTCTTCATATTAATCATGACGAGTTGAGCTTGCTGACAGTATGCCGTACAGGCTTCCATCAGGTCCTTATCAGCTTCCTGCTTCACTTCTTCGTTGTTACAGACGAAAGCAAACGGTTTGATGCGGATGCTGTGCGGGATAATACCGCTATCTTCTGGTCAACCATAAACTGGTACTGCTGCATCAGCGTACGATACTTCAGAAAATGCTTCTTGAAGTCGTTAATAGCCTTAATCTTGAAAGAGTTAAGGCAAGAAGGTGTCGTTTGCTTTTCCAAAAATGATTCAGATACTTCTCCCAGGAAATCAAATGAATCCGTCATTTCGATGTCATCATCCAAAGTCACCGTCACATCAGCTTCAGGAGCCATTGCAGCAGCAAAACCTCCTTCAACAGGGTTAGGAGCTACAACACGCTTCGTAACCGGTTGACGAGAAGCCATCGGGTCGACTTGGGGTAAAGTAGCAGGAGAGTCTGCGATCTGGCAGAGCCGCTTCTTGCTAGGCTGAACTGGAGAAGATTCAATAGGATCCTCCGGTTCTGAAATGAGGAGTTGATGTTGTTGTTGTTCCTTGACGAGTGACTGCCTTTTTGTAGACTGTCGAGTCGCCTTGCAATTAGTTTCCTTGGGAAGATTTCTCTTCATTGTTGTTGTGAACTTCGCTTTGATTTCGAAACCGGCCTTCGCAGTGTTTGGTGTCGTCAGACCCAAGGAGCACCACTTTGTGGTGGGAGACATTACGAGGCTGCGGTCTCTTTAGCGTAAATTTAGGTTCAGAAAGATTTCAGGCGTGAAAGCCTGGTTGTAGAATGGTTCTCTTGTGTAAATCAAGTGGTGGTAACTAGTTTCGGCGTAATCGCCTTCGTCAGACCACAAGAAAGAAAAGAGCCTCCCGAGGTTTATATACACCCCAGGCTGATTCGGCTGCCCTACAGTAACCTGAATCAGGCTCAAAATGAAATTCTACAGTGAAAACAAACTTCAGCACTTACGAGCAAAAACTAAAAAGCTTCCAACTCTCTTAGGCAATTTCCATGCCAAAATCGCCCTCCGCCCTGTAAAGATGACGCGTGACATTATATCCAGGTGACTTTTGAGTCGACTCAAAATGGTCCCCACGCGCGAACGGTCAACCAACGGATCGAGCTCGCATTTCAACACGAGGGGGCCGCGACTTGAGGAATGGCGAGATGAAAAAGCGCGAAGAAGTTTAGAGCGCTCCGAAAAGGAAACACCCTTAAAGATGGGAAGAAGGAATTGTTCAGGGTAACCCCGAACCCGCAGTCTTGCAAAGAAAAGAGCGCGAGACTTAAAAAAGTTTTCGCGTGATGAAGACTGCAGGAGAAATCTTCTCAATTCACTCTGGATAAAGCTGACTTTGGTGCTTCTCCGATGGTAAGAGTTGAACGGTAGGTAGAGGTACCTGTTCATGGGCTTCTTGTACAATTTAACGTCCAGGGTACCACACTCTTGAAACCGCTTCCCTGTAAAGAAGGTGACGTCCAAAAAATCGATGGACGATTCTGAAATGTTCCAGGTGAGTTTGATAGAAGGATGCAGCTGGTCAAATTTCTCCTTGAAACTCATGAACCCCTCCCGCGGGCCTTCCCAGAGGATAAGCCCATCGTCAATAAAACGCAGATGCAGGGAAGGAAGCTTAGGAATAGACGCATGCAGCTGCTTGTCCAAAAAGCTCATAAACAGCACCGCGAAACACACGGCTACTGAAGTACCCATAGCGGTGCCGTGGATCTAAAGGAAGAAACGGCTGTCGAAAGTGACAAAACCGTTGAACATAACCCACTTCAAAAGACGAACGATCAATGGAGCCAGAGGATGTCGTTCCCTTCTTAAAAAATAATCGACTGCATCGATTCCATCCATTAGAGGGATTGACGGGTATAAAGACTCCACGTCGTAAGAAGCGAGTAAGAGGTTCTGTTGGAAACGTCTCCCTTCAAGTGCCTGCACTAGACTCTGAGAATCTTTAGTGTAAGTCGGCTGCGCCGTCACAAGAGGTCTTAAGACAGCATCAAGCCAGCGTGAGACGTTAGAGGTGACCCAAGAGTGGGACGCCGCGATAGGCCGTCCTGCTGGAACTTTCTTATGCACTTTTAGAAGAATATAGAAAGCCGGAACTCTCCATCCCCCCTTTGGCGCCTTAAAGAATGAGTTCCAAATCCGGGTACTGAGCAGCGGCTTATAATCTGTATGGATCTGCTGCAGCTCGTCGATGATATGTTGGACTGGGACTGAAGAATACTCCCGGTAGACTGCCGGGTTAAGTAGATGCTTAAAACAATGTTCTTTGTAGAAGTCTCGATCCATAACCGTAAGTCCCAGATTCTTATCTGCTGGTTTAAAAACAAGGTTAGGATCTCGAGCAAGTAGATTAAGAATAGGCGTGTAGTTCTTATTGTTAAACTGTGTTATGTTGGTAGGCTGTAGTGGGGTAGCCAGTATGGGGTACAACCCCAACTAGGGTTTGCTACTTGTACCCAATTCTTCCATTCAATGACACATTCTTGCTTAGTCCTGTTGACATGGTATTCAGAGCAGGAGGTCCCTAGGACCTATCGACCGTTTCTTTTAAGGGCCCACCACCGCTCGCATGCGGTTACCACGCTACCCCGTGCCCTAGCCTCGTAGCGCCCTCGTGCGTCCTCGTTAGCGCCCTCGCGCGCCCTCGTTAGCGCCCTCGCGCGCCCCTCGTTAGCGCCCTCGCGCGCCCTCGCTAGCGCCCTCGAAGCGCCCCTCGTTAGCGCCCTCGCGCGCCCCTCGCAGCGTCGCCCGCCCGCCGAGCCGCCCGCTCGCCGCCCGCCCGCCGCGCTGCCTGCTCGCAGCGTCGCCCGCTCGCCCCGCTGCCCGCTTCGCAGCCCGCTCGCCCCGCTGCCCGCTTCGCAGCCCGCCCGCCCGCTCGCTGCCCGCTTCGCGGCCCGCCCGCTTCGCTGCCCGCTCGCAGCGTCGCCCGCCCGCCCGCTGCCCGCTTCGCAGCGTCGCCCGCCCGCTTGCTGCCCGCTCGCAGCGTCGCCCGCCCGCCCGCTGCCCGCTTCGCAGCGTCGCCCGCTCGCTCGCTGCCCGCTCGCAGCGTCGCCCGCCCGCCCGCTGCCCGCTCGCAGCGTCGCCCGCCCGCCCGCTGCCCGCTTCGCAGCCGCCCGCCGCGCTGCCCGCTCGCCGCGTCGCCCGCCCGCCCCGCTGCCCGCTTCGCAGCCCGCCCGCCGCACTTCCCGCCTGCAGCGCCGCCCGCCTCGCCTGCTGCTCCCTGCCTGTGCACCGCCGCTTGCTCCTGCTGTGGCTGCTAGCTTCGCTCTAGCGCGTCCCCTCTGCTGCTGCCGCTGCTCTGCTGTGCCCTCACGCCTGAGCTATGGCCTCTATTCGCGTTCTTTCCTTCGATGCTGAGGGCCGTCCCGTGCAGTTCACTTCCTGGCTCGACGACCTGCAGTTGTATCTTATGAGCAATAGCACGGACCACATCTCCCTCTATGACTACGCGTCTGGTGCTGCCGCTGCTCCTGCTGCCACAGCCGAGCTTAGTGTACGTTCACAGTGGCAGACTCGTGACGCTGCAGCTCGCCTGGCTATTCGCAGTCACCTGCCGTTAGCTGAGCTAGAGCACTTTGGCGACTGCAAAACCGCTAAAGCCCTATACGACGCTGTCGTTGCTCGCTACTCCTCACCTGCCACAGCCGAGCTTAGCCGTCTCATGCTGCCTTACCTGTTCCCTGACCTGTCCACCTTTGCTACAGTCGCCGATCTTATCACCCACCTTCGCACTAGTGATGCTCGCCTGCGTGCCGCCCTTCCCACCGAGTTCTGCGCTAAGAACCCCCCTCCCCTGTACTGGGCACTCCACTTCATAGTCACCCGTCTCCCTGACACCCTCAGCTCAGTGCGCGACTATTTCCTTGCTCGCTGTCCCACTGAGCTCACTGTCGCCCTCCTAGAGGAGAAGCTGCTAGCAGCCGAGAAGAGCATTGTAGCTGTAGGTGCTGCTCGCGGCGCTCCTCGCACCCCCATCTTTGAGGGGTGCTCTCCCTCTCCCCTCGCTCCCTCCTATGCTACTGCTGCTGCTGTTGACTTCCTTGGTGCTGAGTCTGCTGGCGCTGCTCTGGTGGGAGGCGCCGCACCGGCAAGGGCAAGGGGGGCAAGGGTGGCGGGGGTGGCGCTGGGGGGGGAGGGGGTGGGGGAGGTGGGGGGGGAGGCGGTGCTGGAGGGAGCGGTGGCGGGAGTGCCGGTGGGAGTGGGGCCGGCGGCGGAGGCGGGGGCGGCGGCGGGAGCAGTGGCGGTGGTGGCAGCGGCGGCAGTGGCGGCGGTGGCGGTAGTGGCGGTGGCGGTGGCGGTGGTGGCGGTCGGAGCGGAGGTAGTGGCGGCGGTGGAGGTCGGAGTGGAGGCACCGGCTCGGGCCAGAGCTCCCAGCAGCAGCAGCGTCCCCAGTCGACCCAGCAGCTTCGTGAGTGGCTTGCTCAGCGTGGGACGTCGGGGGGCAGTGGCCGCTGTTCCTATGTCATTCGCACAGGTGATCGCAAGGGGCAGACGTGTGGAAAGTTCCACACTCAGTACCGCTGCTTCTTCCGCCTTGACGACGCTTGGCGTGAGGAGATGGGCGAGGATGTTGAGCGCCCTCGCTGGGCTGAGCTGATGAGGGCTGGTGTTGATATCTTTGCTCTTGACTATGATGCTATTATTGCTGCCATGTATGCATTGACTGTTAGTGCCGAGGGAGACTGTTACTTGTGTGTGCCGCCTGACCCAGGTATAGGGCCCGCTGCCCTAGGTACTAGTGAGTCTGCTCTCTCTGGTATGGTGCCCCCTGTACCTGCTCCCTCCAGCACTGTCCCTGCTGCTTGCGAGTCTGCTCTCTCAGGTACAGCACCCACAGAGACTGCTCTCTCAGGTACTGCACCGGCTGAGACCTGTCACACCTTCACCCTTGACTCAGGTGCTTCCCGCTGCTTCTTTCGAGACAGTACTGAGCTCACACCGCTTCCTGCACCGGTCCCAGTCTCCTTGGCTGACCCCTCTGGGGGCCCAGTCCTTGCCCAGTCCACCACTGTGCTCCCTTGTCCGGCGGTTCCGTCTGGCTCGTTGACGGGTTTCCACCTCCCCTCGTTCTCGACGAACCTGGTGAGCAACGCTGTCATTCAGGATCAGTGGGTTGACACCTTTACCCCTGGAGGACAGCGTGTGGCGATCTGCACGTGCTCCAGGACCGGCCGTCACCTGGCTACGTTTACTCGTCGGCCGGGGTCGAGTCTCTACACACTGACCACTGCGTCTCCTCAGGTCGCTGCTGTCGGTCAGGTGTCCGCGTCAGGTCTGGTGGCCCACGCCTGTGAGTGTCGTTCCCTGTCGCACCAGACTCTTCTCTGGCACCACCGCCTGGGTCACCCCTCCTTGCCACGCCTCCGTGGCATGCACCGTCGCCGCCTTGTGTCTGGTCTTCCCAGGTCCCTCCCTCCTCTCCCTTCCTCGCCTGCGCCGCCTTGCCTTCCTTGCGTCGAGGGGCGGCAGCGCGCCGCTCCTCACTCCTCCTCGTTCCCCCCGACAGGGGCTCCTCTGCAGACCCTCCACCTGGACGTGTGGGGCCCAGCCCGCGTTCGTGGCCAGGGCGGTGAGCGGTACTTTTTGCTGGTTGTCGACGACTACTCGCGTTACACCACGGTCTTCCCCTTGCGCACCAAGGGTGAGGTCCCTGCTGTTCTGATCCCTTGGATCCGCACAGTGTCAGAGGTCCACTGGAGATCCCCGATGATCCTAGGGAAGGGTTACAGGCACGTCGGCCTGGGGGGTTATGGGCGCACTCACCCGCTACATAAACAAGCCCTTTTATCCCAGTGGTTAGTGACTGGGATTCTGACATGGTATCAGAGCGAAGGTCTCGGCCGGTGTGTGCACCTCGGGCATCCCAATGCGGGGGGGTGTCAGAGGTCCACTGGAGATCCCCGATGATCCTAGGGAAGGGTTACAGGCACGTCGGCCTGGGGGGTTATGGGCGCACTCACCCGCTACATAAACAAGCCCTTTTATCCCAGTGGTTAGTGACTGGGATTCTGACACACAGTTCGTCTCCAGCTCCGCCGCCGTTTCCGGACGGATCTTCCTGTCCTGCGTCTGCACTCTGACAGAGGTGGTGAGTTTTCCTCCGACCTCTTGAGGACCTTCTGTCAGGCGGAGGGCATCGAGCAGACCTTCACGCTTCCGGACTCCCCACAGCAGAATGGGGTTGCTGAGCGCCGCATTGGCCTGGTCATGGAGGTCGCTCGTACCTCCTTGGTCCACGCGGCGGCTCCCCATTTTCTGTGGCCGTTTGCTGTCCGGTACGCCGCGCATCAGCTCAACCTCTGGCCCCGTGTCTCCTTGCTGGAGACCTCGCCCACACTGCGTTGGACGGGGGAGGTTGGCGATGCGTCGCGCTTCCGGGTGTGGGGTGCTCGTGCCCTTGTCCGCGATACGTCCGCGGACAAGCTCTCCTCCCGCACGCTTCCCTGTGTCTTCCTTGGCTTTGTCCCTGACGCGCCGGGCTGGCAGTTTTACCACCCCACCTCGCGCCGGGTCTTCGCCTCTCAGGACGTCACCTTTGACGAGTCGGTCCCTTTTTACCGTCTCTTCCCCTACCGTACTGCCCCCCTCCCTCCCCCGCCGCTTTTCCTTGCTCCTGGTCCCCCTCCGGTAGACCCCCTTCCCCCTCAGGGTCCTGCTCCTTCAGGTGTCTCTCAGGTAGACCCTCCTCCCGTCGCTGAGCCTGTCGAGGTCACAGGTGACTCAGGTGCTGCTGCAGGTGGTGCTGCTGGGAGTGCTGAGCCTGCGGGTGCTGGGCCTGGGGGTGCTGGGACTACGGGTGCTGGAGCTGAGGGTACTGTGCCTGAGAGTTCGGCGCCTGGGGGTGCTGAGCCTGGGGGTGCTGCGACTGGGGGTGCTGAGCCGGCGTGTGCGGAGTCTGGGGGTGCTGAGTCTGGGGGTGCTGCGCCTGCGGGTACTGAGCCTGGGGGTGCTGCTACTGAGCCTACGGAGCCTCGGGTTGCTGCGTCTGGGGGTGCTCCGGTTCGGGGTGCTGAGCAGTCTCTCACACCACAGCAGCTTCGTGACTGGTACGTCCGGCGCTTTCGCCGTCCTAGTGGCTCGGCTGGAGCTGGGGGTACTAGAGCTGCCGGGACTGGTTGTTCTGGGCGCACTACGACTGGAGCTGCTGGAGCTGGGGACTCTGGAGCTGGCGGCGCTAGCGGAGTTGTAGCTGCCGACTCTGGGGGTGCTCTTCCTTGCGGTGCTGCGGACCCTGGGGGTGCTGCTGCTGCTGGTGCTGCGGACCCACCTGGTGGAGCTGCTGCTGGAGCTGAGGACCCGAGCGGTGGCGCTGCTGCTGGTGCTGGGGACCCGGACGCTGGAGTCTCTTCTGCTTCTGGAGACGCTGCGCGGCCGCGGCCGTACTTCGTACCGCTCCTTCAGCAGGTTCTTGGGCAGGCTCCTCCTCCTTGTCCTCCTCCCTCCGTAGAGTGTCCTCCGACTGTCCAGCCGCAGTCACAGTTACCGCCTGCCTCACCTCTCCCTGCTCCCTCTCCTTACACTGGTCCCACAGGAGGTCTTACGGAGCGTCGTGAGCCTGAGTCTCGTCCTGCGTCGCCTGTCCGTACTGCTCGCACTGGTCGTCGTGTCCGTCGTGAGCGTCCTCCTCCTGTCCCAGGCACTCACTACATGACTCTGCGTCCCTCTACTGCTCCTCAGCGTGTCCCTCTGCCGTCTCCTCCTGCGTCCTCTTTGCCTGCTGTTCCGGACCCTGAGTCTGACCGGTATCGTGCTGAGCACCCTACTGTCACGCGTCTCCTAGCTACTGTTGTCACTGACCCTACCTTTGAGTCCTCGGCTGCGTCTGCTCTGGTCGCTGAGTTGGTTGACTTTGCTGCTGCCTGTCGTCTAGACTACGCTGCTCGCCTTGTTGCTGGGTCTGAGTCTGCGTCTGTCTGTCCTCCGTCCGTCGAGGGTGAGTGTGCTCTTGGCACGGACGTCCTTGAGGATAGGCAGGAGGACTTTGACTCTCTCGCGGCTGCTGTACCTCATCTCGTGGCCTGGTTGCTTGCCCCTGAGGGAGACCCGGATGCACTAGACATCCCCACTCCGCGCACTTACGCAGAGGCGATCTCGGGTCCCTACTCCTCTCAGTGGCAGACAGCCATGGACGCAGAGATGGCATCCTGGAAGTCCACAGACACCTACGTCGACGAGGTTCCCCCTCCTGGGGCGAACATCGTCGATGGCATGTGGATTTTCAGGGTGAAGCGGCCGCCAGGTTCTCCGCCTGTCTTCAAGGCTCGTTACGTTGCTAGAGGCTTCAGTCAGCGTCAGGGGGTCGACTTCTTCCAGACCTTCTCCCCCACCCCGAAGATGACCACTCTTCGGGTTCTGCTGCACGTTGCTGCTCAGCGTGACTACGAGCTTCACTCTCTTGACTTCAGCACAGCGTTCCTGCAGGGCAGCCTGCACGAGGAGATCTGGCTGCGCCGCCCACCTGGCTTTACTGGGTCGTTTCCTCCTGGTACCCAGTGGAGCCTCCGCCGGCCAGTCTACGGTCTCCGCCAGGCGCCACGCGAGTGGCACGACACACTGAGGACTACACTTGCGGCTCTTGGGTTCGCGCCGTCTACTGCTGACCCGTCGCTGTTTCTGCGCACAGACACGTCGCTGCCGCCGTTCTACATTCTCGTGTACGTCGACGACTTGGTCTTTGCTACTGCTGACACTGAGGCACTCGCTCGTGTGAAGTCGGAGCTGCAGAAGAGACACACCTGCACTGACCTGGGTGAGCTGCGTAGCTACCTTGGCTTGCAGATCACCCGGGACAGAGCACGCTGCACCATCACCCTGACTCAGTCACACATGGTGCAGCAGGTCCTTCAGCGCTTCGGCTTCCAGTTCTCCTCACCACAGGCCACACCTCTGGCTACCAGCCACTCGCTCTCAGCTCCACCTTCGGACGAGTCTGTAGAGCCGAGTGGCCCGTACCCAGAGCTTGTGGGCTGCCTTATGTACCTGATGACTTGCACGCGACCTGACCTCGCGTACCCTCTTAGCATCCTTGCTCGTTACGTTGCGCCTGGGAGACACAGGCGAGAGCACTGGGAGGCTGCTAAGAGGGTGCTGCGCTACTTGTGCAGTACATCAGGCATGGGGCTGGTGCTTGGAGGACGCGACAGAGTTGTCCTCACTGGCCACTCGGACGCTTCTTGGGTGGACGACCTGGCTACGCAGCGGTCGTCACAGGGTTACACCTTCAGCCTTGGCTCTGGTTCTGTCTCGTGGCGGTCCACCCGCTCTTCTTCTGTTCTCGGCTCTAGTTGTGAGGCTGAGATCTACGCCACAGCCATGGCTGCCCAGGAGTTACGCTGGCTCACCTACCTGCTGACTGACTTGGGAGAGCGGCCTAGTTCTCCTCCAGTTCTGTACGGTGACAACAAGGCGGCCCTTGCCTTGTGTCAGGAGCACAGACTGGAGCACAGGACGAAGCACATTGCTCTTCGCTACTTTCTTGCTCGAGAGCTGCAGCAGCGAGGTCAGCTTCGGCTTGTGTACGTGGACTCGAAGGCCAACACTGCTGATATCTTCACCAAGGCGCTCCCGCCTAGTGATCATCAGCGGCACTGTACTTCCTTAGGCCTTGTGTCCACATTCCCTCATTTGCTTACTGCTTGACTTTCTTTGTACTGTCCTTTATATATATCTCGTTGCTTGCTTGCTAGGTCTTGATCACTGTGTTGCTTGTCTTGCACTATATCTAGCACTGCATGTGAACTGGCCTTGTGGCCTTTGCTTGTGCTCGGAGTGTGGTGACGTTGTGATCCACCCTGGGCTTGCTTTGCTTTGCTAGACTGGTCTTGTGACCCTTTGTTCTCCCCCACTTTGCCTATGGGGGTGTGTTAAACTGTGTTATGTTGGTAGGCTGTAGTGGGGTAGCCAGTATGGGGTACAACCCCAACTAGGGTTTGCTACTTGTACCCAATTCTTCCATTCAATGACATTCTTGCTTAATCCTGTTGACACTTATGTCTCCGGCGCAACAGTGCGAAGTTCTGATTACCGATGCTTTCCAACACCGAGTGTTTGAAGACTGTTAAGGCGACTTTTGAGTCGACTCAAAAGTCACCTGGATATAATGTCACGCGACATCTTT